CTATCGATCCTACTGAGATCTTACTTTCATGGTGTATTAGAGCAGCTGAAAACTAATTTTTAAACAAATTTTCGGTTCAAAAGGGTTCTTGGTTTTGTAATAGAGTGCGCGTGAATTTCTAAGCTTTTGCGTGACGCAGCATTTACATAACGGCCGAGAGAGCTGTCATTTAGAAACGAGAAAGAGACTTTTTTCGTGGAATTTTGCTATTTAAACAGTTCAAGTATTAGAAAAAGTATTACTTTAATTTTTATGAGTTCCTCTAGGAGTAAATTCAGGGCTTTTGTAGCAAAACTCGGTAACAGATGTTTCTGTTGGTTTCCGTCCGCCATGTTGGAGCTCATCCGGATGAGCTCCAGCATGGCGTCTCCATACAAAGCTCTATAAATTTGGGTAAAACATTTCCTCGGATATGTCGTATACGAATTATTCTTTCGACCCAAATCTTGGCGAGGGTCTTTGTATGTTTACCTCCTTTCATTCCCCAGATTCAGGACTTTATCTGTCGAATGGTTGTGATTTTTATTTTGATCTATTTTGAATGGCGTGACACTGAAAACCAGCAATATTCGTGAATAATCAGTGATTATTTCGTTTTTACTGAAAATTGTTGCCTAAAATTTAAGTTACTTATATGCTTTAAGGTGATGTTACACAAGACGATTCGCAACGGCGATCTTAGTCATCTTATGCGCAACACAGCGTTGGAATGTTGAAACAACGTTGCAACCATTCCATTCAATGTCGCAACAATGTTGTAACGCTGTGTTACGCTGAAAATCGTCATTGCGAATCGTCCCGTGTAACATCATCTTAAAAGGAGAGCTGACAGCAAAGCTCGGCATAATGAGCGTGGAAAGGGAATATACCATATCCAGTTTTACCGATTTTGACCGATCGCGAGATACAATGTAGAAACGGCAACATCCTCGCAAACAATTTTCTGCAATTTAACCATGTGATAATGATCTTACCATTTACTATCAGCTGTACCAGTGCCTCTGCCTGTCCTAAAATGTTAACCGCTGAACAGTTATATGTACCCGAATCACTCCTTCGAAGATTTTTAAAAAGCAACTTTCCTCCTGAAACCACTGACCGACTGTACTGTCTTTTCTTTTTACTCCACGCTATAACAGGATTAGGATTACCACTCACTGAGCACTGAAACGAAGCTGATCCACCTTCGTTAACTGTCAGCGTTTTGGGGGACACAGCAACAACAGGAGCTGAAATTGATTCACCGGGTTCTCCTTTAACTCCCGGCATGCCTGCAGGTCCCATGCATGTCTCCTCTTTGTCCCTTTAGTCCAACATCACCGTTTGGACCTATAGGTCCCATGATGCCTTGTTTGCCACTCTTTCCAGGAGATCCCATAATGCCTTGGTCGCCTTTATTTCCCGATAGCCCTCTGTGTCCTCTTCGTCCCCGGGATCCTCTGTCTCCCTTCGGTCCAGGTGGACCGGGAGGGCCTGGGAGACAGCTATCGCCATTTGATTGACAGAGTTGAGGTTTCAGCTCGGACAACAGTTTGTTTATCTTCAGAATTGTTTCCCTGTCAACTTTGATTTTAGCTCCCGTGGTGTTTTTCAGTACATCGGCTGCCCGCCTATTTCTATGGAGCTTGGAGTATTCAGATTCTACAAAGAACGTTTTTAATATGTCAGTGCTAAAGATCAAAGCAGAGGACCCTCTGCGTAGTTAATCTTACTAAATACCTTTCAATGCAGAGGTCCACTCAACGCGTAAATAAAACCGACTGGTTCTTTCTAATGCCAGACGTCACTTCAAGTGGGAATTAAAACAAAACTAAATACAAGGAAAAAAACGCAAACGCAGAAAAAATGTGACAAAAACTGAACGAACTTACATAAAAGGCAGCTACTGAAAAATTGGCCTTAACAATTAAGTAGAAGAGAAGGGAATTGATTAACACGCAGCTTACAGTAGAGGCGTGAAAATAGAAAGGTGGTTATACAGGTACTCACTTGTGTCTAAACTTTCAAAGGTTACATTAAATGTTGGCATTTCAGAATCAATATAAGAAGAGTTATGGGTTTAGTTAGGGCACTGTATAGTGAATTAAAGCATTCTATATGGCTATATGTAATTTAATGTATTGTTTGTGGAGTCGTTAATAAAGTTAAAAAATTCATGTGTTCGTAGTAACGAGAGTCCGAGAACTTTATACAATAAAAATGGCTGTAACATTCGCCGGCGATTCAGCTGATCTCATTTTGGCATTGTTCAGGCGAGGTTTTCCAAGGAGAGAGATGACAGGCGTTTGGTACTCGGGGTAATAGGTCTAATAGAGCAGTAAAAATAATTTGGAATACTTGGTCAGCTGGTGGAGAAGGAGATTAGGAAAGGATCTCACCTCAGCCTGACTGATCACGCTTATTGGCCTCTCTGCTTTCAAAACCAGAGAAATTGACTCGCTAGCCTGTGTACAGACGCCACTCCCGGAAAAATAGGAGAAGGGCCCCTTCTCCGATTTTTCCTGAGGGTAGCCGGGGGGGTCTGTACACAGGCCACTACAGACAGGAAATTAAAAAAATTGCTCTTCCGAAAATAAAGTACATGCTCCTCATGATTGGCAGGTCAATCTGGGAAAAAGAAAAAGGTTCACTAACTCCAAACATAACTGATGTTTGTTCGCCAAAAAGGAATGAGGGCTTTTCTTCTTCGAGAAAATAAAGTGTTGTCTATTCAAATTTGGGGATTGTATCGTATATACTGTACTCCCAATCACCACGTTTTTAATGGCATGCAGAATCAATAATAAGGAATAGTAGTATTTAGGGAGTCAGATTAGAAAATATTAATATTTCTTATAGGAAAACTTGCTGATTGAGCCGAGACTGGGTGAGAAGCTTGAAATGACAATTACTCGTCCGAAAGTTTTTGATGCCATCTACTCGATCGATGCAGCTTTCTAAAACTTAAAAAAATGTTCGTCATTTTTAATTTCAGCTGTCATTTGACACAATAAGGCAGTTCACCTACTTTTGAGAAACAAAGATCATCAAGTGATCAACTGTCGATGTTTTGAATATTTCTTTCCTACAAAGAAAACATATGATGACCTGTTCACCTTCGGTTTTCTTTACTTCTGCGCCACGAACACGCAAGGACAGGATATCTTTATGCAAAATTTTCTGGAATCGCAGAGTTATTTTTAAAGAAAAAATAAACAGTCTGTGTGCGGAAAATTATTCATACTCTTAGTAAACTAGAATAGAAAAGACTTACCACGAGTTTTCTTAGCTAACTGGAGGAGGTTAGGGACGTCTGACTGCGTAGTCTCCTCGTTGTTTTCAAGAACGTTTATTCTCTTCTTCTGCTCGTTCAGCTCCAATTCTACTCTCAGAAATCCGGCGCAGTAAAACGCAATCGATAAACCAGACAGAATCGAGGCAAAGGAAGGCAATCTCTGCTTCTGAGAGGCCGTAATGGTCTGATGATTAGTTTTCACATGGAAAGAATTGTTAAATGTTGTTACAGCTGATAGTCAATGCAAAGATCACGATTCATAGGTATCTTGCCAACTTTGTACTCCTCTTACCTTGTCTGTAATATCATCCGTAGAGTCAAAGTTCACTTTAAGCCAGGAAGTTTTTCATTAGGGGCTTTTATGGGCTTGCAGCGACCACGTTCAGTCCTTTCTTAATGCTTTGCGCTGTTGTCGTTTTTGCTGTACCACGTGATATTTTAGAACCACACACGTGCCTTAACGTATGTACTGAAAAACCATGCAAAAAGCAAAATAAAGGAAACTTTATACAATAAGAGAAAGAGACTTACTAGTACTATCTCAAACGTACATTATCGTGACTTGTTAGAATTCCAGTAGTTCGGCTGTCTTGCGATATGTCAATTTACATGTAAATCCCTTCCTTATTCTCGGTTTTTAAATGACGTTATAAAAATTTAAACTAATAAATTATCGCGAGGTATTACTGACAGCACTTACAAATTTTCGGTTCGAAAGGGTTCTTTGTTTTGCAATAGAGGAAGATTGAACTTTCAGGTTTTTGCGTGACGCGGCCGTTTAGCTGGGGGCCTGGAAAGCCATTATTTGGGTTAAAAACGTTTTACCAATTGTTTGAGATTTTGCTCTCTTAACATTCCTTGTCTCAGAATAAATATAACAAGTTATATTAATCTTTGTGAGTTCCACAATGAAAGAATTCACGCAGGAAAACTCAAAAACAGATGTTTCTGTTAGTTTTCGGCGGCCATATTTAATTGTGCCCCCAAAGGAACACCAACGTGGCGTCTCCCTACCAAGCTTTCTAAATTTGGGTAAAACGCACAGACCTGATTCTAGGCGAGGCTTTTGCGATATTTATCTTCCGTTTCATTTCCCAGTTTCTGGACTTTCTGTATTGACTGGTTTGCATTTCTATTTTTAATGGCCTGACAGTGAAAACAGAGAATACGATACACAACAACAATTTATTTTAGTTACCTATCACCTTTAAAGGAAGTTCGTACAGCTAAGTACTGATTGACTCGCAAAGGTAAAGCAAAAATAGCGCTTAAGTCCTCTTCTTGTCAACATGGGAGAGATCGTTGTACCAGAAAAAAGAGACTGAGGAGTTCGACGGTCTAAATTCTGATTCCTGTACCCCTCACCCTTGAACTTGAATATTCTCTGGTGCCGATTGTTACGAGACTCAAGAGTCACACTTGTTTTGACTACAGTTTCCGTTTAATGATATCTCCAGACTTTAATAAAGTTTATTTGTCATCCTTTTTTAGATAGTTTTGTTGGATCTGTAAGAGTTAGACGGCAGTGAGTAATAGTAATGTTCATCCCGCCTTATTCATTAGTTTTCTTCAATTTCATTTGAAAAATAGTCAACTATCTCTACTATAGGCTCGCCCTCGCTTGGGCGTCTTAGTTTCCCCTTCCTTTTATCCCTTTCAAACGTCTGCACACAGGCGTCAGTTACGCGCGCTGCGAAAGCTAATCATTACAAGTATTATTACTAGTAATATAGAAAGCATATTTCAAAAGTCGTGGGATTGGCGTTGTAACGGCGTACCTCGGCCAATCCATCTATTCGCTTTAAAAAGATTTCTTTCAAGTAAAGCGCATAAGTGAAACCAAAACCGAGCGAATTAAATTAAGTAACTTAATTTTCATCCTTCTGATGTTAATAACCCGCTCAAAAGCATTTTTGGAAGTTGAAGACTTTTAAAATGAGCTTGCAATTCCGTACTCGCTGGTACTAAACCTTTGCGCCACTACGTTGTTATTGCGTTACTTTCAGCGGTATCTAGCGCGCGCATGCGCCCGTCGATCATCTTTGTAATTCCATGCGGTTCTCGTTCGGTCTTCAGTAAACCCTCGTTAAGACACAGTTTGTTC